AACCTACTCATTTTTATTCATACAAAATGAAGCAACTGTTTGTCAAGCACAAGCTTAAAGAGTAAAAAGTATATACTTTTACTTTTTAGCAACTGCACTAAAGTAGAAGCATTTGCTTCGTCATTGTTCAATACAAACACAAGTAAATGCTTCAAAAATGATAGTAAAAGCAAATGCTACTTTTTATTAATACAACCCAATGTAATTGAACTGAAATGGAGGTAATTGTTAACTTGGTAGAAAGTTGTGAAATGTTTGTGTTGCACTCATTCGATGGACAGATTCTTAGATGGGCTTAATTGTGGAATTTAATCTGGACATTGCACCACCTGCTTTGCAGAGTATTTGAACAAAAAAAAATTTTCTTATCCTCCCCATGCATCTTGCAGTCTTTGTTGGAAGGACAAGACTACATGAAAGTACGCTGACAAAAAAACAATTCTGCCTTTCACTAGTGCCATCAGCTTCAGGAGATGAAATTGCCACAAAGAACAAATTCATTCATGATTTTGCTTCAAATAAAATGAAATAGTGGTGCAGCAAGTCAGTTTCCACCATTAAGCTTAACAAAATTTTAACGAAGTTGAAAAAGATGTTTCTTTGAGGTTGGGGCATGTTTTGTGACATTTTAACACCTCTGAAGTTTAGATCCGACGAATCCTTCCTAGTAACTGATTAGTTTCTATTCAGAAGGTTTGTAACTTTTTTGTTGTAATGTTGTAAAGCATTTTGAACTTATTTAGTGTAGTAGATTGTTTAAAAAGAGGATGGCATAAGAAGAACATAACACCATTTCCATCATGTCGGTAAAAATCGCATTCAGGTAAAACCGTTTTCTGTATGTTCAAAATCCATTGTTCAATTGAATTCAATTGAATTGTTCAATTCAATTGACAGATTTCGCGGTATGTTTAACAGTGATGTAGTCGAGTACTTTTTGAGAACCAAGTTCTCTACCAAATGTTTAATTAGTTAGAAGGGAACAAAGCTGAAGTACATCGACATTTGATGGTACATGCATAAAGGTAAGATTACAAAGCAACATAATGACTTCAGACCATCACTGTTTGATTAAAATTAACTTTTGAGGACAAAAGTACTCGGCCGAGTACTTTCCGAGTACTTTTTTCCTCAAAACTTAAATTTTACACAACTGGGAGTGTCTGAAGTCTAACATTTATTTTGTAATCATACCTCTGCAAACGATTAACATTGCCACAAGTTACATCTGCTGTAGGTTTTTCTTAAA